GGAAAAGCGTTAAGTTGGCAACACTGCTCTTGGCACCGTTTTCAAATGGTTGGCTGCTGTCTGTTTGGACCTTTCATCCAAAGGTGGTGGTGGTGGTGGGGGTGGCTGAAACACACATAATACTATAGGCGTTCTAATGACATTTTAGCAAAATTATTTTTGATCAAAAACATAATTATTGTGCACAAATAAGGAATAGTTGTATTAACTACAAATAAACAAAGTTTTATGGGGCCCCCAGGATCTTGGGGCCCTAGGCAATTGCCCAGTATCGGCAAATCTCCCCCTGGTAATGGTAAAGGACATTTAACATTGCTGATCAATTGTTTATACACCTGTTATTAAATGTTTCCACATTTATTTTTATCAAAGAATATCACACACACCTCCACTTTTCCATTTCTGTGCTATTCCATTGATAATTTCATAACATCATTGTATGAATGGGGAACAAAACTGTTCTTTCTACAAATAAATTGGGACAACAAATCATTGTACTGCTGTTATTCCTATCAAGGTTTGTTTTCCTGAGAGCACCCGGAATCGACATATAACTCAGGGTTTTATTTGCATATTTTGTCAGAGTGCGGTCTGGCTCCTCTCAACAACAGGATAGTTGGAGGAGAAGCAGCTCCTCCAGGCAGCTGGCCCTGGCAAGTCAGTCTGCACACATTCGCACACATCTGTGGAGGATCTCTGATCAATGACCAGTGGGTGCTGACTGCTGCTCATTGCGTCTCAGGGTAAGCCACAAGGACATATTGAGCTCTTCACTTCCCAGCCACATCAACATTTGAAAAATGTCTTTTTCTTCTATGGAAATATGATAAAATGCAACTAGAAAAGCATATGCTGTAATTTAATAAAGGGATGAAATAAATATCATCAAAATTTCTCCCCAGAAATGACATAAAATTAACTGAAATGTGTTCAGATCTCAATAACGATTGAATCAAAGTGCACTAGAAGTAATGTGTTACCTTCAGTTAAGAAGCAAGTAATTTAGTGATCTCTTTTCTGCCCTATAATAAAGGTTTAGCAGCATTGCTGGTCTAACAGTGTATCTGGGTCGTCAGAATCAGAGTGAATCTAACCCAAATGAAGTCTCTCGGACAGTAACAAGGATCATTATTCATCCTGAATACAACAAACCACTTTATAACAATGACATTGCGCTCCTGAAGATGTCTGAACCAGTGGCTTTCAGCAATTACATCTCACCCGTCTGCCTGGCAGCCTTCAACAGCACCTTTAACATCGGGGAAGACACCTGGGTTACTGGCTGGGGCAACATTGGATATGATGGTGAGTTTTAAAAACATTTATAATCAAACAAAGCATTATTTTGACATGTTTACTGCTCGGTTCGCCGTCGCCTCAACTAAAACCACCACCACCATCATATTATACATAACACACCGAAACAGATGACGGGCCTGCTGTTAGGAACATGTCAGTCAGTTTGACACAGTTCACAGTGTCCGTTTGAAGAACTCGTTTCTTTTTTCACGCAGTTTCTCTGCGCCTCCCTTGCGTTTCTTATCCATTGCTACTGTGACACCGCTGCACAAAGTTCCAAAGGAGCGTGAAGGTGTTTTTCTACTTTCTGATTGGCCTAGCCCTTTAGACTGTCAGGGATGATAACCAATGGGCTGCAGTAGCCTGTGGTAAGGGCCGGATGA